CTTGAGATCTTCCCATTGGCCACAATAATTCAATCAAAACTTTCGTTTATCTAACTTTTTTATCTTATTTTATTATTTTTATATATTTTTAACTTTAAGCATTTATTGTTGATTTTATCTAGCTTATTTGTTATTCCTCACCTCTGTTTTCCGCGTTCTTTTGTATCCTCAATGCCTGTTTCTCGTATCTATCTCTTGATTTACAATATTCTCCAGGCCACTGGGTATTTAACTACTCATTCTTAGTTAAAGATGGGGATTTTTGTTTTTTATTTATTTAAAGGATGTTGTTTTTAATGGATGCTCACCCAAAATAATGTCTGAAAATGTCGAGTACTTTTTGCGGATTTTCCAGTCTCTTGCAATCCTTGAGGTTTGTTTTATACTCTAGCTACAGATTTACTTAGGTAATTAATGCAGCAATTGGTCTTGTCCGATCGTCTGCATTTACTACTGCCATCCAACTTTTGTCCAGACTTTTCGTTGTCTGGGGGATCTTGTTTCCCATGCCTATGGTTTGATACTACATAATGTTTAACTGTCCACGTATTTTACAGATAAAGAGTAATAGTTATGGCTGCACTTTAATTATTTGCGCATGGTCAATTGCTGAAATAACTAGATATATGTATTATGTAACCACGTTACTCCATCATGACTTGAAGCTACTTACTATCTTGAGGTAAGCACCTTACCTTAGTTGAGCTCTTTAGATATTCACTATTCATCGTTCTCTATCCTTTAGGGATTACGGTTTGTTTGTTATAGTGACTTAATTTTAGGGCGAAATACTTTTGATTATTGCCGCTTTGCCTATCATTGAAGAGCGAAAAGTCCTCCACTTATCCATGCCAAATAGATTGAACATTTCATTTAATTATTATTTAATAGTTATGACCATACTTTGTTCATACATTCCTTGTAAGTCTTTTTATGGTACTTATTCTTAGTTTCCCCGAAAATGTTTATGCATATGCTTAACCAAAGAAGGAAAGTACTTCAAAATGTATATAAGCATAAGACAAAATGATTCTTACTGCTCCATATTTTATTTTTACTACGAGCCTTATAACCGCCTTTGTTGACCCTAATGTATTCTTATGAATATGACCTTTTAATATGAACTTTTCCTATGCTAAGCGAATAAACCTTTACTTGTGCTATATTACCTTTTACTTAACACCATATTTGAGTGGATCATCGTTTCTTTATAACATTCTTATAATTAGGCTGATAGTTGATATTTTCTCTGGCTATTTTAAATTTTTCTAATCTTATATTTAAAATAACTTTTTCAAGGACAACACAGTTAGTTTGCGGTCACATGACTAACCTACGATCTTCCTCATCTTTCTATAATAAAAATTGGCCAAACTATTCGAAATTCTTTGTGCTAACGGCCTTGGTCTTCGCGCCATACGGAATATTCTCTGGTTTAAATCTTCTAGATTTTTTATCCTCTTCTTATGGCATAGTTCCGACTCCTCTATATCAATAATTTTATCTGATGTACAGAATCGTAGGCTTAAAAGGAATTAAGGTCTAAGTAAAAATGAAGCTGAACAGTTTATTTTTGAAAGAGGCATTTG